CGCGAAATCGCCTTGGAAACTTCCCACTTCACTCAACGCCAACAAGCTACTGCCAATCTTCCCGTCAGTTTTAATATATCACATGCAAGTAAGTTAATGCCATCCTTTGTAGAAGCAGAAGTTGATGTTTTTTTCACCACCTTTGAAACCCTTGCTAATCAACTCAGTTGGCCTGTCAACCAATGGGCCACACTTCTCAGAGTCCATCTTACAGGTAGAGCTGCAGTCACACTCAGTACTTTGGCGTCTGAGAATGACTACTACACTCTGAAACAAGCAGTGTTGGACGCCTACCTCCTCTCTACTGAAAGTTATAGAAGGAAATTCCGTGACCACCTGAAGGCAAGTACCACTACCTTCCTCGAGTTTGCTAACACGAAACGGAGGTATTTCATGAAATGGCTGGAAGCAGCACATGTCTCTACTTTTACAGAACTCGTCAACCTGATGCTTGTTGAAGAATTCTTGAGACGTGTGCCGCCTCCTGTCCGCCTCTACTTAGCAGATAAAGAAGAAACCGACTACCTGAAGTGTGCTAAGTCGGCTGACACTTACAGCCTCATCCACCGGCTGACACCTGAACCATCCTCCAGTAAGAAGTCGTGGTACAGTTACGAGAAGGTGAGCCCCGATCAAGCTGGTTCACAACTGTACTGCAAGTATTGTAGACTCTATGGACATACCATAGACAAGTGTGGTAAGTCTCAATACAAGGGAACCACTGACCAACAACGACCCAAACCAACTCCTCCTAAGTCCGGTAAGCCTGTGATGAATGTTGGTGTTGATGTTAATGATCTTTCTCTTTTCAGTAACCACCTGTATACTGGAACTGTCTCTGCCAACGGTTCAAATCCGGAGGGACGTTTCAAATTGAAGATCTTGAGGGACACAGCGGCTCTACAATCGATCATCTTGAAGTCGGCTGTGCCCAACATAGTCTACACCGGGGAAACAGTCTTCATCACTGACCTCACTGCTACCACTCCATACCCTCTCGCCAGAGTCCACCTGGATTGTCCCTACGTGAACGGGGAAGTCCAAGTCGCCGTCAGGGAAAAGCCTTTTCCCATGCCTGGAGTGCAACTTCTCCTAGGCAACGACTTGGCAGAAGACCTGCAACCGACCAACCTGATCGTCATGGACAAACCCCAGGTGTGTAACTCTGTGCCAAGTAACCCTATTCTTGAGTATGTTCCAGCAGAGGTTCAAGAGAGTGATGAAGTTTCTCCTCCGGTTCTCGTGACCACCCGTGCACAAGCCGCACGTCCACAGCCAGCTGACTCTACTGCTACCGCTGTCCCTCAAGACCCTCAGAAACTACCCCCGCATCTGACCAAGTTGGAGTTCCGTAAGTTGCAGAGGGAAGATCTTACTTTAACACCATTGTTTTTCCAGGCTGAGACTCAACCCAACAGTATTCCTGGGTTCTTCCTAGAGAACGACTTGCTCTACCGCAGATATAGACCCAGTAAACTGAAGGAGGAGGACGATTGGGCCAACACCGAACAACTTGTGATTCCCACCAGCCTGCGGCCCACTATTCTACACCTGGCCCATGGAGCATTCTCCCACTACGGCTTCAACAAGACTTACCATGGGATTCGTCAAGACTACTACTGGCCAGGTATGGTAAACAACGTCAAACAGTACGTAAAACAGTGTCATACATGTCAGATGGCAGGCAAACCGAACGTCTCCATTCCCAGAGCACCACTGATTCCCATACAGGTGCCTGCGGAACCTTTCCACAGACTCATAATAGACTGTGTTGGTCCTTTACCTCGGACCAGTTCAGGTAACGCCTACATCCTAACCATCCTGTGTCCTACCACCAGATTTCCCATAGCAGTTCCAGTGAAGAACATCACGGCTGCTACGGTTATCAAACATCTATTGAAGATCTTCACTCAATACGGATTTCCCAGGGAGATTCAAAGTGACTGTGGCACCAACTTCACCAGTGATCTCTTCAAAAGGACACTGGAGGAGTTCAACATCAAACAGGTATTGTCCAGCCCCTATCATCCTGCTTCACAGGGTTCTCTTGAACGTAGTCATCAGACCATCAAAGCACTCTTGAAAAAGTTTTGTAGTGAAACCTCGAAGGATTGGGATAAGCAGATTGACCTAATAATGTGTATTTTCAGAAGTCTCCCCAATGAGTCCCTAGGAGTATCTCCTTATGAGATGCTCTACGGCCGTAAGTGCCGTACTCCCCTTAAGGCTTTCAAAGACTCTCTCAGAGATGCCACCTTCAGTGAGCATCAGAATGTGCCCCAGTTTCTTCAAAACCTTCAGCACATTCTAGAGAGAGTCCACCGCTTTGCCCATGATAATCTATTGAAAGCCCAGGTGAGAATGAAGACTCATTACGACCAGACCAGCAAAGTAAGAAAATTCAAGCCGGGAGACTTCGTCCTTGCTTATTTCCCTATCCCAGGTTCACCTTTACAAAACAGATTTTCAGGACCCTACTGCGTCAAAGAGTGCAGGAATAATAATAATTATGTGATAGAGACTCCAGATAGGCGGCGGAAGACCCAGCTGTGCCACGTCAACCTCCTGAAGCAATATAATGGTACTCCTCCCACTGTCTTGACTAATTATTCCACATTCACAGAACCCTACATCCACAGTGAGACCTTCCCAGCTTCTCCTCCCGAAAGCACTGACAAGGAGTCAGCGCTTTCTAATTCCGAAATCCTTAATGATCTTCCCAAATACTTTCAGGATAATCATAGTGCACCTCTCGTCAAGATCTTCAGAGAACATCAAGAGTTGTTCAGAGATGATCCCCAAGAGTGTAATGTTACCCAGCACGACATCCAACTGCTCCCCGACACCCGGCCGATTCGTCAACCCTTCTACCGAATCAGCCCGAGCAAGAAGGAAGTCATGCGTGCTGAGGTGCAATACCTCTTGGATCATGGACTGGCTACACCTTGTGAGTCCCCCTGGGCCTCACCTTGTATCTTGGTGCCCAAACCCCAAGGTAAGGTGCGGTTGTGCACTGACTATCGAAAACTGAACTCTGTCACTGTCAAGGATGCTTACCCCTTGCCAAGGATAGATGACATCCTTGATGCCATTGGTAGTGCCCAGTACTTGTCCCAAGTGGACTTGCTTAAGGGGTACTATCAAGTGTGTCTAACGGAGCGCGCTAAAGAGATATCTGCCTTCATCACTCCTTTTGGACTTTTCAGATATGAACGCCTTCCTTTCGGACTATGTAATGCCCCGGCCACCTTTCAAAGAGCTGTCAACCGTGTCATCCAGGGCTTGGATAACACATACGCCTACCTGGACGATATCGTCGTAGCCTCCAACTCCTGGAGTGAACATCTGCTCCAGCTGCGACGTCTGTTCTCCAAGCTCCTGACAGCCGGCCTCACCATCAACCTGGGCAAGTCCACTTTCGCGAAAGGTAAAGTGCGTTATCTGGGTCATGTTATTGGGAGTGGCAGCATAGCTCCGTTAGACTCACACACTCAAGCCATCCTACAGTATCCACAGCCTACCACCAGGAAGCAGCTCCTGCGCTTCCTTGGTCTTGCCTCTTACTACCGTAGGTTTGTGAGGAATTTCAGTACAGTCGCCACACCTCTAATTCTATTAACCAGTCCCAAGCAACGGTATAATTGGACCATACGGCAAACCGTTGCTTTTGAACAACTCAAATTCCTCCTCTGTTCTAACCCCATTCTCGCCTCTCCAGATATCACCAAGCCTTTCGTCCTTCATGTCGACGCCAGTGGTACCGGCGTTGGTGGTGTCCTGATGCAACAACGAGGCGAGGAGGTTCTACCTGTCAGCTACTACAGCTACAAACTGAAACCACACCAGAGGAACTACAGCACTATTGAAAAGGAGCTACTATCCATCGTCCTGAACCTCCAACACTTCGCTCCGTACCTACAAGGCGCCAGGTCTACCACCATCTTCTCAGACCACAACCCTCTCCGCTTCCTACATCAAGCCCAATTCACCAACCAGCGTCTTCTACGATGGGCTCTGTATTTACAAGACTTCAACCTGGAGATCCGCTATATCAAGGGTTCTGACAACACCATAGCCGATGCCCTCTCCAGAGTTTATGAAGTCGAAGCGACACCATCCATTACTCCACCAAATAACGACGTACTTCTTCCAGAACCGCAGGCTTCGGGGGAGAGTTGTGACAATAATCTCCTTCAAGAGATTGAGCCTGCTCTTCCCTTCATAATTACGTCGTCACAATTATATAAAAGACTATGGAAGAAATGTCAAACAACGACAACAACACCAGCACCAGCAAGGCTTGCCAGGGTGAGCAGAAACGTATGCATCCAGCCACCTGTTCGAACTCCAACCACCAAACTACCCGTTGATCGCTACGGCTCCGCTGATTGGTCGCCGGTCTGGCTGCACCTGCACTCGCCCCCAATACTACCTGATGTCTGGGGTCGCCCCAACATCAGTCCTCAGAATGTTCCGTGCTTTCGTAGCCAGCACTCCTCCCAGCTAGACGTTAGCGTGTACTGAGAGAGGTGGTGGCTTTAAGCCAATATTCCAGCACCTCCCACTTAACTTTTGTGTTGCACTTCTTATTATTTTGCCTTAACGTAACTTTCATTGTGTCATTTAAGTATTCTTATTATTTTGATTCATTGATTTTATTATACATATTTGTTTGTGCATTATTTTCATGTTTTGATTTATTTAACGTAATTAAAATTTCATTGTTAAAGTTTACTTGTGTTTTGTGTGTCTTCTCCTTACCTTACCACAGACGAAGTTCCAGTTTTTCTATTTTTTTTTATAACTATGTGACGAGGCCATACCCCTAGCCTTAAACAGCCGAACACCAACGCGTTACCGTCACAAGTTATATATATATATATATATATATATATATATATATATATATATATATATATATTATATTGCTCTTGCCAAACTTATCAAGAATCATCAAAGAAAACAGCGCAAAAAGGTTAATAGAGGAAATAAAACTAAACTGAATTTATGGAAAATTATCATTAATTGTAAAATACGAGGAAGTGGATCGTTCAGGAGCCAAGAGAGGGAGAAGGCCAGCGCCATGTTGTCAACTAAGCACCAGGAAGGGGGGGGGGGGAAGGCAGACATGTTAGTAAACAATGATGTCACTATAACCCAGCCAGCGTCACCAACCGTCTCCGGCGTCACTCAGGTAACCAGTTACTAACCACGCTCAATGGTAACCTTAATGACGTCAAACTAGGTTGTTTAATTTAGGATGGTTAACAGCATCTGAGTGGCTATTCTAGGTGTTAAAGACCATGACCAAGATCATATAGTCTCGACCATGTCAACAGTTCTTCTGTGGTTTCTCCTGGGAGGTCAATCATGTGTGCGCCTCCTGTGGGACCTTCCTGTGTGTTGTTGTAGATGGTCCCTCCCTGGGCTGGGCTTGGTCGGCATGCACTACCCTTGGTGACCAAGAGCTTCACAGAACTCGTCGTGGGTTTCATGGTTGTGATCGTGGACATCGTGGTCGTCCTTGTCCTCCAGGCAGTGGGCGTGATGCGGGTCCCCCAAGTCACCAACGATCTGGAGCGATAGTAAATAAATTAACTCTCCCTCTCTCTTTCTGTGTGTATTTTATTTTTTCTTAATTATATTGTGTGACATTGTGTTGGAATTAGGCAGTGTTGTTTACCATACCGTTCATTTCGTAAGAATAAGTATAGATGTCACACCTGTGACAGGTAAAACGATTTTTTTTGTGAAGAACAACGCCATCTGTTGCATGTAAGAGCAACACACATGCTCTACTAAATATGTTACAATTCCATTTCAATGTTTCTGATTACATTGATTAATTGAATTTTCATAGATTTTTATTTATTTTCATTTTGATTTAATTATTTTGTGTGAATTGCGTTGGAATTGAGCTGTGTTGTTTACCATACCGTTCATTTCGTAAGTATAGTTTATTTTTTTTTTTCATATTTTCATTTCATTTTTTAACTGTTTTTCTTATATTTCAGTGATGGGAACATAATATCAGTTGATGTTCCCAATTTTCTGATGGAAACAACGTTTAGCAACGCACATGCGTTGCTAAACCACAGCAACGCGTGGAGGGGTACTGCTAGTATATATGTATATATGTATATATATATATATATATATATATATATATATATATATATATATATATATATATATATATATATATTGTTTTTTCTCAAGATTTTCTCGTTTTCTTGACCATTTGGGAATATTATCTTTTAAAGCAGATCTTTGTTCTCACTCTGCCGGCCAAGCCTGACAACCTTCCCTTTGTGTATTTGTGTTTCACTGTGAGTGATTACCTTGGAGCAGACTTTGCAACAGCCGCAAGAATCAAGGATCAGGTGGTCAGGGCAGTACCGTGAGACATCCACACAGCTGCTGGGGACGCATGCATCACAGTCGTCACCGTCGTCTGCACTTTGTGGCCATGGGTCGCTGCAAGTGGAATAGACGGGTTATTGGTACTGCTGGTACACGGCACTTTAGGTGGGGTGGACAAAGTAACTATTATTATTGGAACAGGTCACTTTAGGTAGGGTGGACAGGTAACTATAATTGTTAACATCACTGCATCATTAATAATATTTTAATTATTATTGTAATCATTACTAAGTCATATATTGTTGCCTTCCTTAATACATTATAAGGAATAGTACATTATACTTTATAATTAACTTTGTAAGGGAGAAGCAGTAAACATTTCTAAATGCAAACGTTGTGAAAATATTAAGACATTGTCAATATAAACACGCTGAGGAAATACAGACTATGTCCACATTTAAATAAGGTAAATAAGGTAATTATTAGGAGAAAACACTAAGCCATTACGACTATATAGCACTTGGAAGGGTTGAGGATAAGCTTTTAGGATAGGACGGAGGGAAGGAATGGTGCCCAACAACTTGCACGGATGGGGATTGAATGTCGACTTGCGAGAAGTGAGACCATCTCTCTACCGTCCAATGCAACTGGTTGGCCCACATTAAATAACAAAATTACAAATTTAAATTGGATTTCTTAAATAACTTAAATTACTAGCACTTACCCGTAAATAAAGAGGATCTGTCTCTGTGATTGCTTTAATGTCTGGATCATTTTGCATGAGCGGAAAATTCCCAGGTATCTAATTTACATATTCCGATCTTTTAAAATATTGCCAGTCACAACAACTATATGTAAAGTACTTTTAGACCACATCCTCAGCTCATACAATTATCTTACAAGTTAAAGAATATCTTGGCTTATAACTGGACAAGAGAAGAAAGGTGACACGACTGGATGATTTATAAATATGACCTCCAACAGGGTATAATATCTGTCTAACAAGGCAGATAACATAGTCCAGAAACTAAGACTTGTTGTAGTGTTCTTCATTCTCATTTCTGAATTGAAAAATAAGAACACAAATTTTGTTTAAAAAAAAATATTTTGCCTAAATTCATACTGATAATTTCAAAATGTTTAATTTTATTTCGCTTGTTTATTCATAAACTTCTCAGTATATAAATAAATATTATCTGTAACATAAACAAGTAAAATATTATTACACCATATCTGCATTTATAATATTTAAGTCTATCAAACCTTGTGTTACAGATCCTAGCTTTCCATCCAGTATGCTCGATACTGTAGTAATAGTCTTGGAATGGCTATTGGCAGTCACCCCTACTTTCCTACATATACATTAGTATATTTTTGGAACCATCATTCTCACAGACTTGTAATAGTGAATATTACTGAAAGGGCTAGAGCATTTATTCCTGCGCGAATCTTCACAATATTTATAATGGCAAGGAAGTTGACATATTAACTCTCCAACGTTCAGTTTCACAAAAAGTCTAACGCGTGGCGCTAAACCTCTCTTTAACATCGTCGGAGGCAAAGAAGCGTCACAATCAGAAGCCACAACATCAAGTATGGCAAGAAACCTTCCAGGAAGTACTTTTACTGCAGCATTAAACATAAGGAAGTTTAATTACCAGAGACTTTGAAATAAGAAAGGTGTTTAACATTAAAATGCGTCAATAATAAGAAAGGTATTAATAATCAAGAAGCTCTTGATTCGTTTTGAAGCAGAAAATGATCTTTCCCGCTGCTGCTGTTGGATACCAGCAGACAGAGGGACAGTCGCAGAGAAATATATATATTTAGAAAGACTGAAGAGGGTATTTGACACAATTTGCTCGAACATATGCAGTTCAAAACTAAATTCAGTTTCAGCAACAGCTGCTGTTATATTTAGTTTCAAATACTTTTTGAACTGAATAAATTCATCCCCAAGGCTGGGTTCCAGATCCTTGGCATAGCAAGAAATCAACTAATGTTGCAATTCCAAGTTCTTGAATTGAAAAAGATATGGCAAGAAACCATACTTCGTACTCAGTTGTGAGTACGCATATACCCATTTACTCAAGACGCTACAGAGCTGATCAATGACAAGTATAAAAACAGTGACATGAAATGGTTCGTGTGAAAAGCCTGACAGCTCAGTTTTCTGTTCTGGTCCATCATGAAACTTTACTTCCTTGTAGGCTCGTGTGCCACCCTCGACATGCCAATCTGTTCAAACTCGCCAAACATCTACGTTATGCAACAAAGATCCAGCTCTGAACTTTGCTGACTCGTGCTTGCTCGGCCGAAGCGTTTTAGTAGCGATGATCAGACACTCAATAGAATACCTGTTTAAATTTGAATATGTTCTCAGCAAGAGCTTTCACTTCATGTATGCATCAGCGGCATGCATACCATTTTTACTATACAAATTTATTTATAATGGTTACTAAATAATTTTCAAGAAGTCTGCCCAGAATCCAAGCCTAAAACCTGTCATGGTCATCTTAATCCGCCTCTGGTGGGAGTGGGAGAGTAACTAAGAGGGAGGGGGAACAGTAGCAGGTTGGGAAATGGGAGGGTAATCAGTATATTTCTTGCATATTGTCCTCACCTGAGAACGCAGGCGACGAGGCAGAGGGCGAGCAGGGCGCGCATCAACATGCTGGTGTGGTGGCGGTGTTTACGTGGTAGCAACTTCACGTCCTCTCTCTGACCTCAACACTCACCAGTGATCACCGCCTCAGCCTCCACTCTGGTTTTATAACCGTATGGGGTTGCTGGTCACGAATATATAAACGTAATACATTCAAAACTGGAAGAGAAAAACTGGATGATAAGTAACACAAGATAAGAGCTACACGATGCGGAACAATGAACAATAATCTTGAAAAACATGCAAAACATTGACACACAAGAGAAACTAAAGATATATTTGTGTCGACGTATAAGAGGCAATTCCGAACGAAGCGTTGGGGGGAGGGAGTGGGGGGGGGGGGGGGGGAGAGACATGACTTATCAGAGTCCTTTATGTTTTTCACTTAATTATTCTCAAAAATGAACATCTTAAAGCCATTCCTCTGTGTTTCTCAGTAGTCGTACCTCCTGCTCCCGCCTAACACAAGCTTCTCTATATCCAGTCCCAACATCACCATCAGCTCATCTTTGAAACTTGCTGCATCATGATCTGTAGACCAGGTACACCCACCTGCCAGTGTTGGTCTCACCTGTAGACCAGGTACACCACCTGCCAGTGTTGGTCTCATCTGTAGACCAGGTACACCACCTGCCAGTGTTGGTCTCATCTGTAGACCAGGTACACCACCTGCCAGTGTTGGTCTCATCTGTAGACCAGGTACACCACCTGCCAGTGTTGGTCTCATCTGTAGACCAGGTACACCCACCTGCCAGTGTTGGTCTCACCTGTAGACCAGGTACACCCACCTGCCAGTGTTGGTCTCATCTGTAGACCAGGTACACCCACCTGCCAGTGTTGGTCTCACCTGTAGATCAGGTACACCCACCTGCCAGTGTTGGTCTCACTTGTAGACCAAGTACACCCACCTGCCAGTGTTGGTCTCACCTGTAGACCAAGTACACCCACCTGCCAGTGTTGGTCTCACCTGTAGACCAAGTACACCCACCTGCCAGTGTTGGTCTCATCTGTAGACCAGGTACACCCACCTGCCAGTGTTGGTCTCATCTGTAGACCAGGTACACCCACCTGCCAGTGTTGGTCTCACCTGTAGACCAGGTACACCCACCTGCCAGTGTTGGTCTCATCTGTAGACCAGGTACACCCACCTGCCAGTGTTGGTCTCACCTGTAGACCAGGTACACCCACCTGCCAGTGTTGGTCTCATCTGTAGACCAGGTACACCCACCTGCCAGTGTTGGTCTCATCCGTAGACCAGGTACACCCACCTGCCAGTGTTGGTCTCACCTGTAGACCAGGTACACCCACCTGCCAGTGTTGGTCTCACCTGTAGACCAGGTACACCCACCTGCCAGTGTTGGTCTCATCTGTAGACCAGGTACGCCCACCTGCCAGTGTTGGTCTCATCTGTAGACCAGGTACACCCACCTGCCAGTGTTGGTCTCACCTGTAGACCAGGTACACCCACCTGCCAGTGTTGGTCTCATCTGTAGACCAGGTACACCCACCTGCCAGTGTTGGTCTCACCTGTAGACCAGGTACACCCACCTGCCAGTGTTGGTCTCACCTGTAGACCAGGTACACCCACCTGCCAGTGTTGGTCTCACCAGTAGACCAGGTACACCCACCTACCAGTGTTGGTCTCACCAGTAGACCAGGTACACCCACCTGCCAGTGTTGGTCTCACCTGTAGACCAGGTACACCCACCTGCCAGTGTTGGTCTCACCAGTAGACCAGGTACACGCACCTACCAGTGTTGGTCTCACCTGTAGACCAGGTACACCCACCTGCCAGTGTTGGTCTCACCAGTAGACCAGGTACACCCACCTGCCAGTGTTGGTCTCACCTGTAGACCAGGTACACCCACCTACCAGTGTTCGTCTCATCTGTAGACCAAGTACACCCACCTGCCAGTGTTGGTCTCACCAGTAGACCAGGTACGCCCACCTGCCAGTGTTGGTCTCACCTGTAGACCAGGTACGCCCACCTGCCAGTGTTGGTCTCACCTGTAGACCAGGTACACCCACCTGCCAGTGTTGGTCTCACCTGTAGACCAGGTACACCCACCTACCAGTGTTGGTCTCACCAGTAGACCAGGTACACCCACCTGCCAGTGTTGGTCTCACCAGTAGACCAGGTACACCCACCTGCCAGTGTTGGTCTCACCAGTAGACCAGGTACACCCACCTACCAGTGTTGGTCTCACCAGTAGACCAGGTACACCCACCTGCCAGTGTTGGTCTCACCTGTAGACCAGGTACACCCACCTGCCAGTGTTGGTCTCACCTGTAGACCAGGTACACCCACCTGCCAGTGTTGGTCTCACCTGTAGACCAGGTACACCCACCTGCCAGTGTTGGTCTCACCTGTAGACCAGGTACACCCACCTACCAGTGTTGGTCTCACCAGTAGACCAGGTACACCCACCTGCCAGTATTGGTCTCACCTGTAGACCAGGTACACCCACCTGCCAGTGTTGGTCTCACCAGTAGACCAGGTACACCCACCTGCCAGTGTTGGTCTCACCTGTAGACCAGGTACACCCACCTGCTAATGACATAGGTTATGTCACTAGCATGTTTGGTTTGTAACTTAACCCAACAAAGCCTAATCTAACCTAACAAAACCAAATCTAACATAACAAATCTAACAAAACCTAACCTACCCAAAATCATCCAAACCTAATCTAACCTAACCTAACTTAGCCTAACCTGACTTAAGCAAGGCTATTGTGACTTAACCTATCCCAACCTAACTTAAACAAATCTAACCTAACCTAACCTAGCCTAACAAAACCTTTCCCTAACCTAACCTAAGCTAGCTTAAGTTAGCCTAACCTAACCTAGCCAAATCTAACATAACCAAACCTAGTCTAAACTTAACCAAACTTATTATAACTTAACCTAACCTAACAATACCTAACATAACCTAGCTTAACGAAACCTAATAAAACCTAACCTAGCCTAGCCCAACCCAACATAACCTAGCCTAGCCCAACCCAACATAACCTAGCCTAGCCCAACCCAACATAACCTAGCCTTGCCCAACATAACCTAGCCTAACCAACCCAACATAACCTAGCCTAACCCAACCCAACATAACCTAGCCTAACCCAACCCAACATAACCTAGCCTAACCCAACCCAACATAACCTAGCCTAACCCAACCCAACATAACCTAGCCTAACCCAACCCAACATAACCTAGCTTAACCCAAACATTGCCTAGTAAATACACACATCCAAACCCTAAATACACACATGTATTTAATACTTTTGCATGTATATGTATACTTACTATTTGGAAGTGTGGTATTTACTACTTGGACGTGTATATTTGCAACTCGGTTGCATGTACCTTGAGATATTTGATTTCGAGGCTCAGCGTCCCCGCGGCCCGGTCCTCGACCAGGCCATGCCGTTGCTGGTCTTGTCAACCAGGCTGTTGGATGCGGCTGCTCGCAGCCTGACGTATGAATCACAGTCTGGTTAAACAGGTATCCTTTGCTTTGTAGGTGTTTGTCAAGTTCTTTCATGAACGCTGTGCAGGGTCGGCCAATTATGTCCTTTATGTGTTGTGCAAGGGTGTTGAACAGTCTCGGGCCTCTGATGTTGATAGAGTTCTCTCTCAGAGTACCTATTGCACCTCTGCTCTTCAACAGGGGTATTCTGCACAAACTGTCATGCCTTCTGGTCTTATGTGGTGTTATTTCTGTGCGCAGGTTTGGGACCAGCCCCTCGAATATTTTCCACGTGTAAATTATTACGTATCTCTCCCGCCTGCGCTAAAGAGAATACAGATTTAGGTGTTTTAGTCGGTCCCAATTGTTTAAATGTTTTTCTGAGTGGATTCTAGCAGTAAAGGATCTCTGCACGCTCTCCAAGTCAGCAATTTATCCGGCTTTGAAAGGGGCTGTCATTGTGCAACCGTATTCCACTCCAGAGAGCTCTAGCGTCTTTGAAGTATCATCATTATTATAGCATATCTAGATTGAAAGGTTCATATTATCCTACCTGTCATTTATCTTCCAGTTGTGACAGCTACTTTATTGTATTCTTTAAAGATAAAGTCTTCTGACATGAGTACACCCAAATCCTTTACATTGCTTTTCGTTCTATGGCATGATATGACTGCGTTTTGTACATGATTTCCGTTTTTATATTTTCATTTTTTTCCGTAGCGCATGAGCTGGAACTTATCTTCGTTAAACACCATATTATTTTCTTAGCCCATAGAAAGACCTGACCTACATCTGATTGGAGGTTTGCTGTGTTCTCTGCTTGATACATGGTTGATGGGGTTCTAGGAGTTTTTCTACTACCCAAGCCCAGCCCGAGGCCAGGCTTGACTTGTGAGAATTTGGTTCACCAGGCTGTTGCTTGGAACGGTCCGCAGGCCCACATTCACACCACAGCTCGGTTGGTCCGGCACTTTTTTTTTTAGAAAACAGTCTAGTTTTCTCTTGAAGATGTCCACGGTCATTAAGGCAATATTTCTTATAGTCGCTGGTAGGACGCTGAACAACCGCGGACCTCTGATGTTTATACAGTTTTCTCTGATTGTGCCTATGGCACCTCTGCTCTTCATTGCTTCTGTTCTGCATTTTCTTCCATATCGTTCACTTCAGTACGTTGTTATTTTACTGTGTAGATTTGGGACCTGGCCCTCCAGTATTTTCCATGTGTATATTATTTGGTATCTTTCTCGTCTCCTTTCTAGTGAGTACATTTGGAGAGCTTTGAGACGATCCCAATAATTTAGGTGCTTTATCGCGTCTATGCGTGCCGTATATGTTCTCTGTATTCCCTCTATTTCAGCAATCTCTCCTGCTCTGAAGGGGAAAGTGAGTACTGAGCAGTACTCAAGACGGGACAACACAAGTGATTTGAAGAGTACAACCATTGTGATGGGATCCCTGGATTTGAAGGTTCTCGTAATCCATCCTATCATTTTTCTGGCTGACACAATGTTTGCTTGGTTATGCTCCCTAAACGTTAGGTAGTCGAACATCATTATTCCCAAATCCTTGACTTGCTGTTTTCCTACTATGGGCAGATTCGATTGTGTTATGTACCCTGTATTATGTTTCAGAT